GAGTAAGAAATAAAACTAAATGCCCAGGGACAGATGAATGGCTAAAAGGATCTGGTGTATCACTCAATGGAATAACACTCAGGTGTTCCAGGATGAACTCTGCCATTTGTCCCAACATGGGTGTCCCTGAGGGTATTATGCTTAGTGAAATAAGTCACAAAAAGAACACTAATGCAGTAGGATTTTACTCATGTGTGGATATATATCAGCCAGAGAAACAGAGATTATATAATACAAAAACAAAGTTCTATACCAATTAGCAGTTACCAGAAGGGCAGGGGAAGAGGAGTGGGTAAATGTCATAAAATGTGCCAGTTGTATGAGAACAGAATCTGAGCTTTAGTGGTGAACTTAATGTAGAAACACACTGGTTCATTTTAAGTATGCACACTTGAAACTTACAGAATGTTGAAATGCAAGATTATTCCAATAAAGAAATGAATTTAAGTATTAAAAAGATGTACAAAACCATTACACTAATAACTATATATCATGGATGAGAGAATTTTCAAAGACTTCAATAAATGCAAAAAATTCCTGACCATGGATTAGAAGATATGATCTTTTCAATTCTTCTGCTCTATCTATAGAGTGAATATAATTTCAAACAAAATTTCAGCAGGTATATTTGGAATTGGAAAGCTGATTCTAAAGTTTGCATAAATGTAGAGGGAACCAAAAGAATTCTAGACAATCTGTAACAACAGAATACTTAGCATAATGAATTACTGTGAAACTATAGTAATTTACAGATTTTTATAAGCATTAATCGATACATCAATCGACCAGGTTAAAACTTCCACACCTATATCATCAGTTCACAACACACAGGTGAAATTTATGAGCAAACAACATTTCTCAATTAATGACACTGAAATTTATTGAGGAGACTGCTTCTCAATTAATTTTTGTGAACCATCTACATATCACTTTGAATAAAATGGACCACCACATCTACCTCACTTCTCAAATCTTAAGATAGTTAATTTTAAATGGATTGTGGAATGCAAGAGATAAAACAGTAAAGTTTTTAATGTAAATATAAATATTTTTGTCTTTGTTATTTTATACTTTTAAAGGTGTTTTGAATACACTTAAAATATATTAACCAATTTCTGTTTCTTGAAGCTAGTGATTTGTATTTCTATTATTTCTAGGAAACATATCAACATCATTTTTTAAACATTGTTTGTTGCCATGCCCTTAAAGCAATGGAAAACATATCTCTTGCCTATACCCCAGCTATTGTATGCAGTAGTAATTAAATCTTAAAAACATATATTAGAGTCTCTCCCTTCCTGTCATTTATGTTTCAATCTCTTTCTCTATGTTTTATCACTTCATTCATTCGTTCATTTGATGGAAATTTTATTTATGTTTGAGCACCTATCTTTCAGTTTACATTTCTGTCTTTCCTTGTTTTATTTGCTGATTAATCCATCCATTGATTTTTTAGATTTTGATCACTACAATTTGTATCTCTGTGTGTATATATATATATATATATATATATATATATATCTGTTTGAAATATTTCTGTTTTTGATAGTTTATGAATTTTAGAATAAAGTAATATTTTAAATGTTCTTCGAGTCATTTTTAATTTTAGAAATATTATTTCACAAGCACTCACAGATATTCAAGGATTCCTACCAGTTGACTAGCAATTATTCAATTGCATCTTAAGACACAAATAAACAGTGCAATGATATTGTTGCAGAGTAACCTCAGTGGTTTGCTCCTGGAAGCCTCATGTTGGGTAGACCACAGTGGATTCTGCATGGGAAGTAGGGACTGTAGACAGGGGTTATCATCAACTTATAGACATCATGTGATATCCCAACTCCCAATGTAAATTAGGAAAAAGTGGAGAGAATCTCTTATTTACTATTTTCTATCATCTGGACAGAAATGACCAGGGAAGGGGTTATTTGAAACTCTTTAAAATTATGGTAATGTTTTTTTTTTTTTTTTTTGCATACCTGACTTTTTTTAAGAAAGCATTTATCTATTGTATTTGCAAGAGTAAAGTTTATGGAGTTATATGTGTGGATGGTTTTGTTTACTCAGAAGCACATGTTTATGGCAATTGTGTGACATGACTACTTTCCTTATGATCATTTTTCTATTTAGCTTTAAATTATTTGCTGGCTGTGTCATGTTTGGATAATCACAGCTAGCAATTTAGGAAACATTCTCCTTGGCCCCAAGTAAAACAGCACAAGCCAAGGTGAAGATGGAATTGGCCTGCTCTTTGTGAAAAGGCAGCATTTGGGAAATTATTGCTTCTGGGAAGATGACTAACTTCAAAGAAAGACAGACTTCAAGGTTTGCAGCAGTGCTGAAACACCTAGTTCCCAGATGATAAAGCTCTAAATAGGGTAAATTTTAGCACCATCTTACTATCAACAATACATAGATAACATCAAATATATCCACTGAGAAGGCTCCGATACAGATTCTGGACATTTTTGCCCAGCAAATTGTAAAAAAAAAAAAAAAAAAAAAAAAAATTAACAAACAAAACAAAACCTCATTGAGAAACTTAGAGCTTAGGCAGTTCTTCCAGATCTATCTGGAGGTTTTTTTGTGGAATTCATTCACCAGGCTTGATTCTTTCATAAGTCCTCTTAGTTATTACTTGTCTCAATTTATTTAATTCAACAGTTTTCTCCATATATTTTGAACTTGTTTTCAAGCCAGTAACTTTGAGATATGTCTTTTCTGTCTTAATAAAAGAGGTCATCTTTTCTTCCTTGAAAAACCTTTCTGAGAGCAGCTTTTATGGCTTGGTTTCTCAGGCTATAGATCATTGGGTTGAGTGTTGGGGGCACAACTGTGTACATAATAGTGAGAAAAATGTCCAGAGCACTTGGAGAGTCAGAAGGTGGCTTGAGAAACTCAAAGACACCAGTTGAAATGAATAAAATGATAACAGCGAGGTGAGGAAGGCAAGTGGAAAAGGCCTTAGCTCTGCCCTCAGCAGATGGCATCCTCAGTACAGTAGAGAATATCTGTGTGTAAGACAAACCTATAAAGGAGATACAAAGAAAGCCCACCAGAGACAAGAAGGCACTAACCCCAACCTCACTGATATACTCATTAGAACAAGAGAGTTTTATGAGCTGTGGGATGTCACAGAAGAACTGGTGAATGATATGTGAACCACAGAGGTGCATGGAGAAAGTGGCAGCTGCGTGCATGGTTCCACAAATGACCCCACTGATCCAGACGCCTAGGACTCCGTGGACACAGGTGCTTACATCCATGATGATTTCATAGCGCAGTGGAAGGCAGATGGCCACATAGCGATCATAAGACATCACTGTGAGCATGAGCAGCTCAGCAGAACCACAGAGAGTAAAAGCAAAGCACTGCACTATGCATTCCCAGAGAGAAATGTAGCCACTATGCATGAAAGAATTGTAAATAGACCTTGGCACAGTCACAGAAATATAGCACAGGTCCAGAAAGGAGAGATGTTTCAGGAAGAAATACATGGGTGAGTGGAGACTATTGTCCACGGAAATTGCTGTGATAATGAGGATATTGCCAGTCAATGAAACCATGTATAAGATTAAGAACAGGGAAGCGTGGACGAGTTCTAGGTCAGGCTTGGCAGAAAATCCCATCAGAAGAAACCCACTCATAGTAACATTATCCATGTTCCTTTTTAATTTCCCAGTGATGTTGGCTGCAAGACAAGATGGAACCATTGGAAATTGTTATTGAACCTCCTAATCCACTTAGTATCAATGATGTTAGGCATGAAATTACTTGAAGAAATCACCACTTCATATTCATTTGAAGGTAGTTCTTTAAGCTACTAATAAAGTGGAGAAAATTTAAATGATTTTTGCTCACACATGGTAACCATGGATAATGAATTTCAAATTTTAGTATTGCCCATTTCAATTAATGGCAATGAAAATGCATATTTAAATACAATTAATACAATATCTTTTAAACTATATAATCTTATTCATAGTACTGGAGCATTGAATTTTGATTTGTGTACAAAGATTTATGTAGCTCATGTACTCACATTTTAAAATGTTTCTTAAGTTTATTCTTTTTCATTAATTGTTCTTTCTATTCATATACCACTCCATTTACAGTGGATTTTTTATTGCAGTTTTATAATTTCATTTTGTATTTGAGCAGCAATAGTCATATATTTTTGCTTTTTAAATAAACATTTACATTCTAATAAATTAAATTATGAAACATCAAATCGAGGGCACCTGTGAGGTAATTGTGATATATAAATAATATGATATATAAATAACCATTATAATAACATAACATTTCATAAAGTATTGGTCTGTAAATTACTTAATTTCCACATGAATTGGAAAGGGAAGGGCCTTTGTAGGTGTATTTTTATAACCATTAATATGACTAATATACACCGGAAAAAGTCATTTATTCTGCTTCTTAGTTAATAAAACATAAGGGGCCTCCATGGTGGCTCAGCAGTTGAGCACTGGGTTTGATCCCACAGCCAGCAGGCGAGGGTCCCACACAGTGCGCAGACCTCTCCTGCCGTACCCGCTGCTTCCCTCAGCAGTGTATTTCGTCAGTCTGCTTTTTATGTCCCTGCTCTGGCTCTGGTGAATACTCTCATCCTCCCGTGCTTCTGACTGTACCCAGTGCTTGTATAAATAAATAAATAAATCTTTAAAATAAATAAATAAAACATAGAACAACAAGGGAACATAATGTGTACCCACACTTTAGTGAAGCTATGAAAAGAAAATACTCAGTGCCATTAATTATGAGAAAAGCCACCTCATAGTCATATATATCTCAGAAGGTGTGAAATCTGACCCCTAAATCTTGTATAATCTTGTAAATAACCCTACTTTAATAAAATTCTTGCAATTACATAATAATATGTTGCTTATTTCATGAAAGAAGGAAAATGTTTGAGATATGCAAGTAGTATGGTCAAATTTGTGTCTACTCTTTTGAAAAAGCAAATATTTAGGAAAAATCTTGAAGCACTCTGCATCTTAAGCCATGTAACTTTATGTGTAGATAATATTTTACTAAGTCATCTGAATAATAAGTATTAAGAAAACTATGTTCCTTTAAACTTCAATTTTCCAAACACATAGGAAAATGATCCACTTCAGTTTGAAGTGGATGATCCATTTCAGATTTTCAGCCTGATATCCATGGTGTTCTTGTAATGATTTACTTAGAAGCTGTGGGTGATGGATGCTTCTAACTTCTGCAGTGAACTACATAATTTGATTGGGAAATTGTTTAAGTCTGATTGATAGAAAGACTTGGCATAGATGAGATAGGCCTTTGCACACACAAGAAAAATTTATTTGAGAATTGGTTCTGCTATTGTGTGTGTCCCTGTATTTCACAGGAATGTTAACATATTACTAAGTATTACCAGGTAATTTTATTTTAGACAAAATTAAAGGAAGACTTTGAAGGTGACCCCTTGCATTTCTAGAGGTGATCCTGACACAGTTACTCATCGGCATCATCTCTTATAACTGCAACTTACCAGGTGAGGTTTCTGAAGCCTCCAAATTTCCATTTCCATGTGTATGGGAGAAGGTTGCTTATTTTTCTTTAGAAACTCAATAAAAAGAATTAATTTCCTATGTATTGAAATATTGCTTGATTTATCCAAAAGTATTTATTTGATCTTTCGATTAATTTAAATCTACTCTTGTCAACGTTATACAGTGACTACACAGTCAAATTAAATACAGTTTTGTTATCATCTTTAAAACATTACATATAAAAAAAAATAAAAAAAAAAATAAAACATTACATATATTTTCAGTACCTTGAAAATATATATACATTATATATATGTTAATGTAAGGTTACACTATGTATAAACATATCTAAATAATTTATGCATTGACCCAATTGTGGGTGTGTGTGTGTACATGGGCACGTAAAACGTATCTTTGGATTATAACAATACGGATTATTATAATTATGGATTTTGTAATATAATTATAAAACACTAACATTTTTTAATATATTGCTGCTGTGACTGTGATAACAAGATAACAAGTGTAAAAGCAAGAAGAAATAAAAGGACTCGAAATTAATTTTAATTGGTTCTTAGATATTATTTCAGATTACTTTTGTTTTATTAATTATACGTCATTTTAATCATGAAAATTAAGACAGTCACTTTTGACTTCAAAGAAATCCCTAATTTCAGGGTTGTTCTAAATGTTTACATTAGTTATACCTCTTTAAATCAGCATTTCATTTTCTCCAACTTATTTGCTGTCCTATAACAAAGGAAACATTCAAAATGAAATACATATATCACCATTTTAGTTAAATATTAATTTTTAGGTGGATTTAGTGTTTTCAAAACATAACAAAACTGTTTCTTAAGTGGATTAAGCTTGCTCTACTCGATCATTTTTACCAGCTATTTTTCCAGTCCTTTTCTATTTCTATTAAATGCCCACTCACAAGTCCATTTCAGAAATCTGTGTATTTTCTGTACTTCAGAATCTTCTCCTAAGAGTTAAGGGAAATTGGAAGTCTGGGTGATTGTTATGATATGATTGTTATGGTTTCTTTTGTTTTGTTTTTGTGTTTTTTTTGTGTGTAAAGATTTATTTATTTACTTATACAAGCACTGGGTACAGTCAGAAGTGCGGGAGGGTGAGAGAATTCACCAGAGCCAGAGCAGGGAGCAGAGCAGGCAGAAGGACCGAAGTACACTGCTGAGGGGAGCAGCGGCAGCAGGAGAGGTCTGTGCGCCATGTGGGACCCTCCTCTGGTGGCCGGGGAGCAGCCGGGGATTGAACTGGCGCTGCAGAGGCTGCGGGCAGCTTTGCAACCCAGCGCTCAACCACTGTGCCACCAGGGAGGCCCTGTTATGGTTTCTTTTGTTCCTTCCTCTGGGAAGAAGGAAAATATGGTTATGATGCTCTCATGAAACTGTTGGATCCATTATCAATTTTCAATCTTTTCTAATGTATTCAAACAATATTTTCTGAGATTTCTAAGGTGGGAAGTATCTCTCATCTCTTATAACTCACTAGTGTAAGAGTCAATGAATAAGATGAATATAAGGTACATCCCACAGAATTACTCTATCATACATCCACACTGAATTACTTCTACAGTGGTTAGAGAAAGAAAGACATTGTTATGGAGGTGGATTTGGCACTCTACAAAATGTTTCTTGGAATAGAACCCATTTACAACAGTCTCCGAGTTGCCTAATTTCCTAATTTCCATTCTAAAGTAATCATAGCTTATCAATAGTATTTCATCCTTAAGTTAAATGACATGACTAATTCTCTCAGCCATTCAAAACTAGTGTCTTATGGATTTCCATTATTCTGTGTGATCCAGTTTTTTAGACCCTAAGGAAACTCACCAGAGCATATTTCTGGATCCCCTTCCCTCAATAGGAGAAGCCGTCAATGTGAGCAGCTGACACTTAACTCAAAGTCCTGATCAATGAAATCAGTCACCATCAGAAAAATATGAATTGTGGAGAAAATTTAAGTCTGTATCAATCCTTTTTTGGTCCCTCGTGATTAGGCAATAAATCTCTAGTCACAAGCAGAGTTTGTGGGAGCTCTGGGTATTTGTCATTGCTGGCCAGTACCCTGGGACCCAAACTTGAAATATTAATTGTTCCTGCAGAATATTTTCTGCTGAGTTGCTTTAATGATTATAACTGGGTACCTGGAATTTCACCTTATTTGTGTGTATTGAATCAAATTATTGAAAAATATTATAATTTATTGGTAGATTCAAGAGAATTCACTTTTATTAATTGAAATGTCAAGTTATGTATATACTTTATAGTATCAAATAAGCTTTTTTTTTCAAAAATATCGGTATGTGGCAAGCCCAACAGGATATTTAATGAGTATATGTTCCATTATCATTAAACATGTCTTTGTCCCAGGCTTCATTTCCAAATGAGTTTTTACAGTATTAAAAATGCTGTGAAATAGTCAGATGGTTTCCAAGTAAATTATCATTTGAACAGAAACTTCCAACTAATTGTCACTGTATTTCACATTTATGTTCTAAGAGCTCAAAAAGCTTTAATTTCAACCATCCTTTTTGTACATGTATTAGTGCTCCTGAATTTGGGGAATACTCTAAATTAATAAGAAATGTCTACAGGTTTCTGATCACTTGGTCCAACAAAAGCTATGTCTTATAAGATATCAGAATTCAGTCATTTTTTTAACTTTTATTGATTTTTTTTCATTTTTAAACTTTTTTTATTCATGTACATCTTTATTCATTTTTGGACAACATTTGATTTCTCCCTCAGGTGTAGTCCCCACAAATTTTCCACCACCACATCACTTGTAACCCATCACCAATGTCCTTGTGCTGTTCCTTCCCCTATTTTGACCCCTCTTTCTCTCTTTCTCTTGCTATATATCTCAGATACAGAAGAGCTAAAAAGATACTTATTCAGTGAGGAAATGCAACTGGCCAACAGGTATATGAAAAACTATAAAAATCGCTTATAATCAGGGAATTTCAAATCAAAACCACAATGAGATACCAAGTCACTCTTGTGAAAATGGTCCATATTAAAATTAAAAAAGCAAAAACTGGCAACCACAAATTCTGTCCAGCTGTGGAGAAAGGAGACCCCTATTACACTTCTGGTGGGAAAACAACT